CATGATAATGGTAAAGTGGGGTTAACAATAGAAATAAGTTTCTGGACCAAGACCAAAAGTCAGAGTTCCAGCTCTTGCCAGCTGCTGCTTCATCTTCAAAAAGCGATTTTAAGGGCCAGTGCTGTGGCATAGTAGGCTAAGCCTCCACCTGTGGCAATGGAGTTCCATATGGGTGCTAGTTCATATCCTGGCTGCTCCACTTCCAATCCAGCTCTCTGCTCACGCTCTGGGAAAGCAGTAGAGGATGACCCAAGTGCTTAGGCTCCTGTACCCATGTGGGAGAGCCTTAAGAATCTCCTGGCTTCACATCGGTTCAGCTCTGGCTATTGCAGCCATTTGGGAAGTGAACCAGTAGATGGAAGACCTTTCTCTCTGTCTGTAACCCTACCTCTCAAATAAATAAATAAAATCTTTTTTAAAAAAGTTATTTTACTTTTTAAAGATTATTTGAAAGGCAGAGTGACAGAGAGAAAGAGAGATCTTCCATCTACTGGTTCACTCCCCAAACAACTCCAACAGCTGGACTGGGCCAGGCCAAAGCCATGAGCCTAGAACTCCATCCAGATCTCTCTCCCCCATGGGTGGCAGGGACCAAGCATTTGGGCCACCTTCTGCTGTCTTCCCAGGTACGTTAACAGGGAGCTGGATCAGAAGTACAGCAGCTAGGACGGGAACCAGTGGCCAGTATGGGGTGCCGGTGTCACAGGCAGTGGCTGAACCTGCTGTGCTGCAACACAGGCCCCCAGGACGTTATTTATCATGCATACATTTTCACACGTAGTTGGAAAGATGCAGTGTTAGGAAGGTGAAGCCGGTGACTGATCCTCCTTAAACGTGACCTCACTGTTTGTGAGCCCTGAGTAAACGCCACTTTCCAGCTGTACTGAACACCCTGAGCTTCGGTTACTCAGCACGCAAACTCCAGTGCTAACCTGAGCCGCTCCCAACATGGAGGGAGGATGATAGGCCCTCTCCCTGCCCTGTGGCTGGAGCATGACCTGCTCCTTCCTGGGGCTCTGGCTTGCTGGGAAGGGCACAACAGCCACTGTCTGGGCTGGTGGTATCAGTGGGCTGCACAGAATCCCACAGTGTCCTGGCACCCTGATCCCACAGCAATTTCACAGCAGTTCTGCCAGCTACATGATCCCCATTCAGTAAGTTCTTTTTCTCCTTAAGTGAATGGAGTTAGTTCCTCTAGTTTCTCAATAAGAATCCTTAGTATACTTTTGTAAAACTAATACAATAAAAGTAAATTAACATCAGTTACATGAAAATTATTTTAATATCTTTTTCTCCATGACTGAATATACAAAGACAATGGAAGTAATGCATTCCTCCGTTGTAAAGATGGATGGAATATATCAAAATCTACTTGCTGAATTTTCTTTAAATAGTCCTCTAGAGAAACCTGGAAAAAGAGAACAGCGGTCACTAGATCATATAATGAGCAAGTCTAAGAATAATTACAAATAGTAGGGCTATTTTAGTTTCCCCAAGAAAGTCTTCTACATAATAAGAATTTTAAAAGACAAAACAAATGAAGATATCTCCTAAAAAGTTTCTATGAGGCTGAGTAGCACAAAGCTAGTAGTAGAATAACCAAGCCTTTTCTGCCCATAATATAATCTTCTTGTCAAATATAAAGACTAATTATGTTTGTCTGGCCTTATCCCTAGATTCTGTGGAATACAAAAAGGATGTTTCAATCAAAGAAAATGAAATATCCTCCACCCTCACCCCCTACCCTGGCCAAACACAGTGTACCACAAGAGGGAGCTTGCGCTGTTTTTAGAAAATTACTGTTTTGTAAAAACGCTTAACGGGTCTCCAAGTTCTTGCTACACATGAATTTCAACTAGGGAGAATCATAACAGGTCCCTCTAAATACCACCCCATCCTTCTGCCATCACATAAAACTTAGTAGTATTGTTCTAAGAGAGGGACAGGAGGACAGGACACTGACGATGTGTAGTACTTTGGTTTTCAGATATTTTATTAACAGACTGTTTTACTTAATAAATTACAAATTTATATTTTATTTTACTAATTTTCTTACTAAACAGGGAAGTGACTTAGTTTCGCACTCCACAATTAAACTGTCTTGGATCACATGCTGGCGCCCCCTAGAGTTCAACAGTATAGAACAGAGTGATGGGGGATTAAGCCTAGGGGCTTTGGAACATCGGGATGAGAAAAAAGAAAACAGCTTCGAAGTATCATACCTTCTTGAACTTTTCGACTATGTAAATATATTACAAAAATATATGAACAGATAAATTCAGTATACTTTTTTTTTAAAGATTTATTCATTTGAAAGCAGAGTTACAGAAGGCAGAGAGAGACAGAGAGAGAGAAAGAGAGAGAGAGGACTTCCATCCACTGGTTCACCCCTCAGATGGCCACAACTACCAGAGCTGTATCGATCTGAAGGCAGGAGCCAGGAGCTTCTTCCAGGTCTCCCACATGGGGGCAGGGGCCCAAGGACTTGGGCCATCTTCCACTGCCCTCCCAGGCCATAGCAGAGAGCTGGATCAGAAGTGCAGCATCCAGTACACGAACCAGTACCTAAACAGGATGCTGGCACTGCACTGCAGGTGGCGGCTTTACCGGCCACGCCTCAGTGTCGGCCCCCAGTATCTACTTTTTAAAGTCCTAAATTTGCACACACGTACGAGAGATGATATGTGCATGAATGTGTGTTGCTGCCTTGTTTTTTTTAATTTTTAATTAATTTATTTTTACTTTAGTTGGAAGGCAGAGAAACAGAGACAGAGATCAACACAGAGATCTTCATCTGCTGATTTACTCACTCCCCAGATGCCCTCAACAGCTAGAAGCTGGGCCAGGCCGAAGCCAGGAGCCAGGAACTCAATCAGGGTCTCCCACATGGGTACAATGACCCAAATATGTTGCCCATTAGAGGAAGCTAGAATCCGAAGCAGAGCTGGAACTTCAACACAGGTACTGCAATATGAAACGTGGGTATCTCAAGCAGTGTCTTAACCATTGTGCCAAATGTCTGCCCCTACCTTAGTTATTAGTTAAAAAATCACCTATAAATTCTTTAGCAAAAAATTAATTGTTCATACAGTGAAATATTACAGTGCAGTGAAATGAATGCACAGGAAGACACACTAAGATACCAAATCTTAGAAACATTAAGAATGTGTATGGCTGGCGCCGCGGCTCACTTGGCTAATCTTCTGCTTCAGGATCCTGGCTTTGGCCTGGCCCAGCGCTGGCCCTTGTAGCCATTTGGGGAATGAACCAGTGGATGGAAGATTTCTCTCTCAACTCTCTCTCTGCAACTCTGCCTTTCAAATACATTAAAAAAACTTTATAAAATTTTTAATGATGAGGTAAAATGCTTGATAAATATAAAACTTTCATAAAAGGTATGATTTCAATTATATACAAAAATAATTACAAGTGATTGCTATTTTCTTCCAGTTGTCTTTTTATATTGTTCAAATCTTTATGAGACTGTACTGCTTTTACAACTAGGAGAAACATGACCTCAAAATTAAACAGAGTTCAACTAGACCCTTACAAATTACAAATTGGTTCAAAAGAAACTTTGGCTGATAGCAAATAAACTGTTTAAGGTAATAAATTTATTACAAATTTCTCAAAGACTTTTTTAGAAGATTTATTTATTTATTTGAAAGTCAGATTAACAGAGAGAGGTAGAGACAGAGAGAGAGGTCTTCCATCCGCTGTTTCACTCCCAAGATGGCCACAATGGCTGGAGCTGCACCCAGAGCTGGATCGGAAGTGGAGCAGCCGGGACTAGAACCGACGCCCATGTGGGATGCCAGCACTTCAGGCCAGGGCTTTAACCTGTTGCGCCACAGCGCCGGCCCCTCAAAGACATTTATGAATACAGCTTCTTAAAAATTTATTTATGGAGAAGAATATACTATGCCTAGATTAGTCACTTTCAGACAGTTTTCAAAAACCTTTCTTTGAACAAAATAAGTAAATGATTATAATATATAAAACAAATAAGCAGGGCTGGCACTGTGGCATAGCAGGTAAAGCCCCCACCCACAGTGTCAGCATCCCATGTGGGCACCGGTTCAAGACCCAGCTGCTCCACTTCTGATCCAGCTCTCTGCTGTGGCCTGGGAAAGCAGTGGAAGATGGCCCAAGTCTTTGGGAGACCCGGAAGGGTCTCCTGGCTCCTGGCTTCAGATCAGCTTAGCTCTGGCTACTGGAGAGTGACCCAACAAATGGAAGAGATCCCGATCTCGATCTTGATCTCTCTCTCTCTCTCCCTCTGCTCCTCTGTAGCTCTGCTTTCAAATAAATAAATAAATCTTAAAAAAAAAAGACAAGTAAGCAGCAGCTCCGGAGAAGCTGGAATGAGGGTGTATTATAGAAGCAGTCCCTCAGGAACTGCCATGTGTTTCTGTAGTTTCTCTTGGCACAGTATGGAAAGGAGAAGCGAGCCCTAGTCCAAGTTTCCAATTCAGCAGGTCTGCAGGGGGGCTCAACACCTGTATTTCTAACAAGTTCCCAGGTCTAAGACAGTGGTTCTTAGGCTGAGCTGTACTTAACAATTACTGGCAAAGCTTTTAAACTAAAATTAATTGTTATATATTTACTTATTTTTTTATGAGTCAGACAGACATAGAGCTCCCATCCGCTGGTTCACTTTCCAAATGCCTGCAGTGACTGGAACCAGGCCAAATTCAGGATCCAGGAACTCAATCCATGTCTCTCACTTGAGCCATTACTGCTGTCTCCCAGAGTCTACATTAGCAGGAAGCTGGAGTCAGGTATCAAACCCAGTACTCCGATATAGGATGCAGCCAGCTTAATGGGTAGACTAAATGCTCACTCCTGGAAGCTTTTAAATGCTCTGAAGATATCGGACTCAACTGGTTTGAGGATTAACCCAAGTATTGCCTGGGTTTATTTTTTAAAGCTTCTCCAATGATTCTAATGAGCAGTCAGTGTTGAGCACAATCTTTTTCACAGAAGTGAAAACAACATCCTTAACTTTTATAGAGCTTATTTATTAAACACTTGATGGCACATCCACCAAATAATCACTTTAAAAGGTGGTATAGAGTATATGATAAAATATACAAAAACATATTTATGTTTATATATTGTACATTTATATAAAAATACACTTCTGATTATATGCACCCAAAAGGTCCAGAAAGATAAACAGACATTATCTGGACAGAGAGAAAATGTAGGGGTTCTAATTTCTTCTTTTGAATTTCTTCTTTTGTATTCTCTTATGGGAACATTTAAAATACTGATAATTACTCTTATAATAAGCAACCCCGGTAAAGAAACAAAATTACTCCAAACAGATCTGAAAATTAGTATAGAAGATCTGAAGGGATAGAAATGCACCTTTGGGGCTGGCACTGTGGCGCAGCGGGTTAACACCCTGGCCTGAAGCGCCGGCATCCCATATGGTCGCCGGTTCTGGTCCCTGCTGCTTCTCTTCCAATCCAGCTCTGTGCTATGGCCTGGGATAGCAGTAGAAGATGGCCCAAGTCCTTGGGCCCCTGCACCCACGTGGGAGACCCAGAAGAAGCTCCTTGGCTCCTGGCTTTGGATCGGCACAGCTCCAGGCATTGTGGCCAATTGGGGAGTAAACCATCAGATGGAAGACTTCTCTCTCTCTGCTTCTCCTTTCTCTGTGTAACTCTTTCAAATAATTAAATAAATCTTAAACAAAATAGAGAAATGCACCTTTATATTTTAGTGAAAAAGCATAGAAAACATGCTTGGTATTATAGAAAACACATATATTTACAATTTTATAAGATTATAAATCTTGGAACGTTGGTTTCTTCCTATGAAATGTACAACACCATACGTAGGCTTATTTCTAGGAAGATTACAAATAATGTATGAGAGAAGCTAGTTCAGATCCTGTCCCATAATAAGTGTAAAGTAACAGTATCATTTATCATTACTATAATTGGAACAACAGTTCTGAATATGACTACACATCAGAATCACTTGGGGAACTTTCAAAACTCAGATTTGCCTAGGAACTGGTCCCCTTCTCAATCTTAAAAGTCTTATTTAGTAAGAAGAGCCCATAAATCATTATGTATCATTCCAAGTGCAGCCAGCTCAGCAATGGCCTGTGAAACACTATTCAAGAACCAGTGCTACCATATGGTCAGGTCACTACAGAAAAAAATTAACATGATATTAAGTAATACTATATAGCAACCAAGTCACAATCCTATGAGTTACTGTCTCCTGTTATTCTCATTTTACCTGTGAGAAAACTGAAGAATATGATGGTTAAGAACTTAAGGCCCATGGCTAGCAGGGGGCAAAGCAGATTCACGTCAATGCAATTTGACTGCAGCCAGTGCTAAAACCAATGCAGTGCAACCTGCTCCGGGGAGCACAGGGAGGACCACCACCAAATGCATCACGTACCTAACAAGCCTGCTATAAGGGAGGGAAATCAAAACAAAGATTCCAAGCTAAAGGAGCGCACTGGGAGCTTTAAAAAGACAAAAAGAGATCACGCACATCTGCCTGCCTAATTACACAGCCTTCTCTGCTAATCCACTTACCGTCTGCAGAAAGGCAGGAAAGGCTCTCGCAGGAACACTTTTGTGGAAGGACCTAGCCTAAAAGGAAAAGGAAACCAGTCTGAAATATTTCTGCAAATAAACACTCTCTCTGAAAGTGAACAGTCAGCAACACCAGCAGTTCAACAACATAACTAGAATCTCTAAAAATGCAAGAAAACAGCTCACCTCTGGCTCTTAGCTTCCTAAGCCCAAGACTCAGGAAAACGTAACTACCATATTTAAAATTCCATTCTTCATTATGGATTGGCCTTGGCATTTTCCAACTACCTTATAATATACCTTAATAACTTTGACCCTCTAGCTCTGCAGTAAGGGATAAATAAGTACTTGGACTAACAAGTCCCAGCACTTCCCTAATAACAGATGGCCATCATCTCCTGTTGAGGTGAATGTTAAGACTCTCCTAAGTGACCTTAGGAGAATCTGCCTCTGTGTTCCCCATCTTTAATTCATTCCACAAGGGTCAGCCAAATTAACGCCCTTATGTCATCACTTCATTTCTGCTTTCTTTAACTTGACTCTGGTAGATCGAGTCTCAACTGTTCATCAGAATTCAAAGGCCTTCACATCTTGACTACTCTGATCGATCCAATGTAACTCCCTCCGAGGTAGGATACACCTCCTGGCCCCACGTCTTCATTTATATTGTCCCTTACACCTGAAGAACACACACTCACTGCCTCTACTCCTGACTCTTTTTAGCCCCTGTACTCTGGTTTCACTCCCAATTGTCTAAGATCATCCATGATTTACTAATCACCATAGCCATCCATCTTAACTCTCCAATCTGTAAAACTCTGATATCCCCTTTCCTTGGAATTTTCTCCTTTGGTTTTTAAGATACTGATTCGCAATTCTATTTCTTTGGTCAACCTTTTCTGCTTCTTCTAGTAAATGATGCTTTTTCTTCTACCTGATAGATGAAGGTCGGCCTCAAGGTTCTGCACTTGTTTGTCTTGTCTGGATGGACACTCCTCTTGAGCAATATCTCCTGAATTTAAAACCTTTAACCACAAGCCTATGTGGATAGCTTCCAACTCCAAGATCTTCAATAGACTTCCTTTAAAAGTCACAATTCTGCTTTCTCCAAAGTCCATCTCCCGAAATATCCTCTAATCTCCTCAAAATCAATTATGTCCAGCAGCTAGTCTACAGATGCACCTAGCATACCACTGGGTTTTTTTCCTGTAGTCTCTGAGTGGCACTATCATCATCCTTACCTGAACTCTTGCTTTGTTTTTGTTTGTTGTTGTTGTTTGTTTGTTTTTGACAGGCAGAGTTAGACAGTGAGAGAGTGAGAGAGAGAGAGAGAGAGAGAGAGAGAGAGAAAGGTCTTCCCTCCATTGGTTCACCCCCCAAATGGCTGCTACGGCCGCGCCAGTCAGAAGCCAGGAGCCAGGTACTTCCTCCTGGTCTCCCATGTGGGTGCAGGGCCCAAGGACTTGGGCCATCCTCCACTGCACTCCCGGGCCACAGCAGAGAGCTGGACTGGAAGAGGAGCAACCGGGACAGAATCTGGCACCCCAACCAGGACTAGAACCTGGGGTGCTGGGTGCCGCAGGCGGAGGATTAGCCTAGTGACCCACAGTACCGGGTTAAGATTATTTATTTATTTGAAAGTCAGAGTTACACAGAGAGAGGAGAGGCAGAGAGAGAGAGGTCCTTCATCCGCTGATTCTCTCTTTCTCTGTAAGTCTTTCAAATAAATAAGCCTTTAAAAATTAATACATTTTTAAAAAGTATACAGTTTCGGGAAGATATCTGGTACACTGGTTAAGATGCTCCTTGGGGATGGGGCCGGCACTGTGGCGAAGTGGGTTAACGCCCTGGCCTGAAGCGCCGACATCCCATAGAGGCGCCGGTTCTAGTCCCGGCTGCTCCACTTCCAATCTAGCCCTCTGCTATGGCCTGGGAAGGCAGTAGAAGATGGCCCAAGTCCTTGGGCCCCTGCACCCACATGGGAGACCATGAAGAAGCTCCTGGCTCTTTTTTTCGGATCAGCACAGTTCCGGCAGTTGTGGCCAATTGGGGAGTGAACCATTGGATGGAAGACCGGCCTCTCTCTCTCTATTCTTCCTCTCTCTGTTAACTCTGACTTTCATATTAACAAATAAACCTTTAAAAAAAAAATAATGCTCCTTGGGGGCCGATGCTGTAGCGTAGCAGGTAAAGCCACTGCCTGCAGTGCCAGCATCTCATTGGGCGCTGGTTCTAGTCCCAGCTGCTCCACTTCCAATCCAGCTCTCTGCTATGGCCTGGGAGAGCAGTGGAAGATGGCCCAAGTCCTTGGGACCTTGCATCCCCGTGGGAAACCCAGAAGAAGCTCCTGGCTTTAGATCTGCACAGCTCTGGCCATTGCAGCCATCTTGGGAGTGAACCAACGGATGGAAGACCTCTCTCTCTGCCTCTCCTTCTCTCTCTCTGTGTATCTGTATAACTTTGACTTCCAAATAAACAAATAAAAATCTTTAAAAAAAAATGCTCCTTGGGACACTCACATTCCACATTAAAGAGCCTGAGTTCAATCCCAGCTTAGCTTCTGATTCCAGTTTCCTGTTAATGCACACCCTAGGAAGTAGCAGGTAACGGTTCAGGTGCTTGGATTCCCATCACACACATGGGAGACCTAAATAGAGTTCCTAGCTACTAGCTTCATTCTGTCCCAGCCCCAGCTATTGCAGGCATTTCTTGAGTGAACCAACAGATGCAAGATCTTTCTCTCCCTCTCTCTCCTGTCACTTTGACTTTCAAACAAAAAAAGAAAGAAAAGAAATTTTCAAAATTTAAAAGCTAGGGGATGGCGCTGTGGTGTAGCGGGTAAAACCACCGCCTGCAGTGCTGGCATCCTATATCGGCACCGGTTCAAGTCTCAGCTGCTCCACTTCCCAGCAAGCTCTCTGCTAATGGTCTGGGAAAGCAGCAGAAGATGGCTCAAATCCTTGGGCCCCTGCACCCACGTGGGAGACCCAGAGCAAGCTCTTGGATCCTGGCTTCAGATGGACACAGCTACGGCCATTGCAGCCAACTGGGGAGTGAACCAGCAGATGGTAGACCTCTCTCTCCCTTTCTCTCTGCTTCTCCTTCTCTCTGTGTGACTCTGACTTTCAAATGAATAAATAAATCTTTAAAAAAATTAAAAGCTTATAATCTGTTTACTAACTTACTTAATAAATGAGTGCCTATCATGTCCCAGGCACATTAGATGCTTAAGAACACAGCACAGAACCAAGCAAAGTCATTTACATTCTAAGAAGAGGGAGGCAGTAAACAAACCCTTAATATGTCAGGTTGTGAAAATGTACTTACACAAGTAGGGGTAACGTGTGTGTGTGTGGGCGTGTGTGTATAGGGAGGATATGAGTTTGGATAAGGAGACCAGGAAAGATCTTTCTGGTAAAGTGCCAACTGAGCACTGACTATGCCAAGGGCAGGAGGAAAGGATAGGAAGCAGAAAAAAAAATTAGCAAGTACAAAGGCCCTGGGGTATGTAGGTAAATGACCAAGTCTTTAGACTCCACTGAAGGTTATAAAACCTTTTACAAAGGTTCACAAATAGAGCCAGTAAAGAAACAGCATTATGACAATCAAGGAAATAGAAAAGTTCCTTTTTTGTTCCCCAAGATTTATTTATGTGGATCTGCACTGTGGTATAACAGGTTAATCCTCTGCCTGCAGCACTGGCATCTCATATGGGTGCTGGTTTGAGTCCTGGCTGCTCCAGTTCCAATCCAGCTCCCTGTTAATGCCCTGGGAAAGCAGTGGAAGATGGCCCCAATGCTTGGGCCCCTGCAACTATGTAGGAGATCTGGAAGAAGCTCCCAGCTCCTGGCTTCAGACTGGCCCAGCTCCAGCCATTGCAGCCATTTGGGGAGAGAACCAGCAGATGGAAGGCCTCTTTCTCTGTCTCTCCCTCTCTCTGTCTGTAACTCTATCTCGCAAATACATAAATAAATCTTTTTACAGATTTATTTCTCTACCTTTCAAATAAATAAAATAAATATTTTTCTTTTTAAAAGGAGTATCAGTAAAGAAGAGCATCGTGGAGATAAAGGGAGAAAGAAAGAAAAATGGAGGAGTCAGCAGTGTCAAATTCCAAAGAAAGATAGTTAAAGTCTGAGAAATGACAAAGAATGAACTCTTGCAGAAAAAGTGAAGTGTTATGTAAGGGAAACCTGGAACCAGCTCATGAGCCACATCAGAGAATCAAAAGAAAAAAGAAAGTGTCAAGGAGGAAATCATGTTAATGGTGTCAAAAAAGGAAAAAAAGAGCTACTGGTGAGTTTTAAATACCCATCAAATTTGGCAATAAGATTAGTTATTAGTGACTGCTGATAACAGTGGGCAGAAGCCAAATTACAGCAGGATGAGCAGTGCTAGAGCAGTGAGGACTCTCAGGTAACGGGGAATACAGACCCCACATTCAACAGTGTAACTGCAAGAGAAAAAGAAGCAACAGAAGGGCCCATGGGCTACCTGTACATTCAGGAGGTGGTAGCAACACAGCAGAAGGCAAAGGGGCAAGCCACCTGGGAGGCACAGGGAAAACACCAGGAGGGGACTGCGAAGGAGGAGGCAGGCAGCACCATCGGAGGCAAGGCAGACACCTGTCCTGACAGAGGACAGGAAAGGAGTGGATGGGGCAGAGGAGTGCCCCGAGAAAGTTCGGGCTAGATGCACTTAGAAAAGGGGGCACGAAACTGCTGAGAGAGAGAAAGGGGGCACTTTTATGAGCAGGGGATATTCACAACAGCTCCCTGGAGAAATCCACTGGGACTCCAATGAAAAATGGAATAAAGATTGCCAACCTGAGAACATTACAGCCACACCCTACAAACAGCCACATTCAGAAAGGACAGCATCCTAAATGATTTGGCAAAGAGGGGCTGCTTACATGCTTTAGGTGCAAGTGAGCCTGGCTGGCAATGTCATATATCACATCTCTCACTTTTTTATCTTGGCTCTTCCGTAGAACATCCTCTTGTGAAACACCATGCTGTGTGGAAAAATATACATTATATTAGGAATCTAAAAGCACACTGACAACTAATTCAGCTCAAGAAAAGAGGTGACAGAACAGTATGCACAGTAAAATGATTACTTTTGGGGGGGCCGGCTTTGTGGCATAGTAGGTAAAGCTGCCACTTGCGATGCTGGCATCCCATTTGGATACAGGTTCCAGTCTTGGCAGCTCCACTTCCGATCCAGTTCCTTGCTAATGTGCCTGGGAAAGCAGCAGAGAGTGGCCCAAGTGCTTGGGAACCTGCACCCATGTGGGAGACCTGGATGAATCTCCTAACTACTACCTTTGGCTTGGCCTAGGCCCAACCATTATAGCCATTTGTAGAGTGAACCAGCAGATGAAAGATCTCTCTCTATATATAACTTTGCCTTTGACATAAATAAAATAAATCTTAAAAAAAAGGCTACACACAGAAGTACCATTTTAAAAAAATGATTATTTTGTTCTTCTAAAAAATATGTATGTATATATGCCTATACAACGGGACTTTGAACAAGAAAGCAAACATACAGGAAGTTTAAAAGAACAGGCAATAATGAATTTCATACAGAAAACACAAGTTCTTATGAACAACACATTTTTAATGGGCACAAAACAAAATGAAGAATAGGTGAGATAAACTCCAGGAATTACTTTTACTGCTTGGAAGAGAATAAGACATCTAAAGGAAGTTAAACCAAGTAAGATCTTCTGGATCTTCTTACTCCCTGCTCCTCCAGAGACCCAGAACACCTGCAGATAAGGTTCAGGAGACTAGGGCAGGGCCAGCGCTACAGCACAGTAGGTTAAGCCCCACCGGCACTGCCAGCATCCCATGTGGGTACCGGTTCGAGTCCTGGCTGCTCAATTTCCAATCCAGCTCTCTGCTGATGTGCTTGGGAGAGCAGTGGAAGATGGCTCAGGTGCTTGGGCCCCTGAACCTACATGGGAGACCCAGAGGAGGCTCCTGGCTCCTTATTTCAGATAAGCTCAGCTCCAGCCATTGCAGGCATTTGGGGAGTGAATCAGCAGATGGAAGACCTCTTTCTCTGTCTCTACCTCTCTCTGTAACTCTGCTTCTCAAATAAATAAAATAAATCTTTAAAAAAAATCTAGGGCAGAATGAGGACTAACATTTCCCTGAAGCTTATGGCTCTCATTTCAAAGTAGTTACTTGAGTAGATTAAGCAAGAAAACTAAGTGATAACTTCCCTCCCCAAATTCCTGAGGTAAATTATGAGAAGGTCCAAAGGACAGCCTTACCAGCATACAAATATCCATGGGAAGGAACACCTTTCTTCTGCTGCCATGATAGGGCGTTGCTCTCAAGCAAGTGACAATGCCTTGTGCTTTTCCAATGTGACTTGCGGCATGATCTGCATGAAGATCCTTTATACCTATGATTTTAGAGATTAAACAACAGGGCGGCTCTACTATCTTTAAGGCATAGCAAATCAATGGAAGCCACAAAGAAATCACCTACGCTGTAAAAGTAGGCATTTGTTTATCCTACGCTTTCTAGCTGAAAACTAGGATTTACGAAGGAAAAACTGACCTCAAGGACAAGTTGAGCATTCACTTGTCCTAGCAGATCTCTGAGCCTCAACTTTTAAAGAAAAAGTTTCTCCTCAGGGGCTGGTGGGCACTGGTTCACGTCCCAGCTGATCCACTGCCAATGCAGCTTTCTGCTAATGGCCTGAGAAAGCAGTGGAAGATGGCCCAAGTGTTTGGATCCCTGCACCCATATGGGAGACCTGGATGAAGCTCCTGACTCCTGGCTTCAGCCTGGCCTAGCACTGGCCACGGTGGCCATTTGGGGAGTGAACCAGCAGATGGAAGACCTCTCTCTCTCTGCCTCTGCCTTTCTGTAACTCTGCCTTTCAAATAAATAAATAAACCTTAAAAAAAAAAAAAAAAAAAAGAGGGCAATCTGACAGGTGTTTTATTGGAAAAGAGAAGTATGAGACAGAAAAACAACTCACCCAATGTTTCTAGAGTTAAATAAAGAAGAGCGCTCTGAGTGTTTTCAGCATAATTCTCCAGTTCCTGGATATTGCAATACACTTTGTCATCCAAATTTTTTTCCTACAAAGAAGATGCAAATAGTTTGCTAAGCTGCCAATAGTTTATCAACAAAAGACATTTTTTTGCCCTAAAGAACTGAATAACAAAAATGTCATCTAGTGTATTGTTCAGTATAACAAGATTAAAAGGACATCCTAATATTAAAGTTCCACACATTCAATATTTGCAAGTCATTCTCAGAATAACATTCAGGAATAAGCTCAATGCACAAATCACCACAGATATGGGGTTGATTTAATTTTTAATTCCTTCTAAACCCAAGATTTTGAGGGGGAGGGAGGAAGGGAGTATCATTATGTTCTTAGAATTTCACCTACAAATCACATTGAATCTGTTAAAACTAATCAAAAATTAAAATTAAAAAAAAAAAAAAAAGCCCAGACTAATAAATTAGTTCGGAGGCAATAGGACCCTAGAGTCTGGATTCCAGAGTTCACCTGCCTGACCTTAATTCCTGGTTCTATTCCTCACAAAGTGGGTGACCTTGGATAAATTATTTAATCTCTCTGCGCCTTAGTTTCCTCATCTGTTGAGCAGGAATAGGAGCTACCATATATGATTACGTGAGAATTAAATGGCTTAATGCATGTAAAGCATTTAGAAGGCAGAAGCCTGGCAATAATAAGCAATCAATGTGCAGTGGCTGTCATTACTTTATGCAAACGGAAGAACACTCCAGGCAAAGGCACTCTAACTCACCAAGGCACTGTTATGTAAACAACTGTGCTATACCCTACATGTTCATAGAGGTTCTGTGGCGAATTTTGATTTGTAAATGCTGAGTTAATCAACATTAAATAAATTTTGCTTCTGGAGAAACAAAAGAAAGCCAAGGCATCAAGAGAAAGTAACTTACTGAGGTCTTTCTTAAACACTTCAGATGTTATCTTCTTAAACCTAACAACCCCCAACAGATAAGAAATTAATGTTTTTCCATTTTACAGATGACATTCAAGGTCACACAGCTAATAAATGGTGGCCACAGGATTCAAACCCCACATATCGTGACTCCTGGCCTGTGTTCTTAATGAGGAAAATGTGCCCAGAGAAACAAGGAATGGTAAACAGTACTCAAAGCCATGTTCAGTAAGTGAAAACGTTAATGATCTAAACATACTATATTCAAGAAAAAGAAAAATGTAGAGGCCAGCGCTGTGGCGTAGCAGGTAAAGCTGCCACCTGCAATGCCGGCATCCCATATGGGCGCCAGCCAGTTGGAGTCCCGGCTGCTCCACTTTTGATCCAGCTCTCTGCTATGGCCTGGGAAAGCAGTAGAAGATGGCTCACATGTTTGACCCTGCACCTGCATGGGAGACGCGGAAGAAGTGCCTGGCTCCTTGCTCCAGACTGGCGCGGCTCCAGCCGCTGTGGCCACTGGGGAGTGAACCAGCAGATGGAAGACCTCTCTCTCTCTCTCCCTCTGCCTCTGCCTCTCTATAACTCTTTCAAATAAATAAATCTTTAAAAAAATGTAAATTTTTTTTTGACAGGCAAAGTGGACAGTGAGAGAGAGAGACAGAGAGAAAGGTCTTCCTTTGCCGTTGGTTCACCCTCCAATGGCTGCCGCAGCCGGCGCACCGCGCTGATCCCAAGGCAGGAGCCAGGTACTTATCCTGGTCTCCCATGGGGTGCAGGGCCCAAGCACTTGGGCCATCCTCCACTGCACTCCCTGGCCACAGCAGAGAGCTGGCCTGGAAGAGGGGCAACCGGGACAGAATCCGGTGCCCCGACCGGGACTAGAACCCGGTGTGCCGGCGCCACAAGGCGGAGGATTAGCCTAGTGAGCCGCGGCGCCGGCCTGAAAAATGTAAATTTTAGAGCAAGAACATTTAGCCACTTTATAATAATACACTTATAAAAATCCTGTTGTTAGGGTAAAATATTATCCCCCCCATCCATCCTCCCTTTTTTTAAGTCAGGAGAAACTGCCATCAGGAATGATCCTAGAGGAATATCTATATTACATCTTCTTAAAAACTGAGACATAATTCACATACAATAAAATTTACCACCTTAAAGAACACAATTCTGTGGTTTTCAGTACATTCACAAAGTTGTACAACGATCACCACTCTCTAATCCCAGAAAATTGTACCACCCCAAAAAGGAAGCCTTGTACTCATCAAGTCGTCATTTCCCACCTCCTTCTCCCATCAGCCTCAGCAAGCACTCATCTACCTTCTGTTGTCATGGATTTGTGTATTCTAAGCATTTCATAAAAACAGACGTGGATGGAGTTCTAAGTTCCTGGCTTTGGCCAGAGGCACCCCAGGTCATTGTGGCCATCTGGGGGAGTGAGCCAGTGGATGGAAGATCTCTTTCTCTCCAGCTCTCCTGCTCTCTCTGTGTAACTCTGCCTTTCAAATAAAATGTCATTAAAAAAGAAAGTCATACACTATGTAGCTTTTTGTGTCTCACTTCTTTCAAGCATGTTTTCAAAGTTCATCCATGTTTGAATAGTCATTAAGTACTTCATTCTTTTTAACTGAATGAATTATGAATAACATTTCATTGCATGGATATACCATTTTGTCTAGCCATTCATTAATAGACTATGGGGAGGCCGGTGCCGTGGCTCACTAGGCTAATCCTCCGCCTTGCGGTGCTGGCACACCGGGTTCTAGTCCCGGTTGGGGCACCGGATTCTGTCCCGGTTGTCCCTCTTCCAGGCCAGCTCTCTGCTGTGGCCCGGGAGTGCAGTGGAGGATGGCCCAAGTTCTTGGGCCCTGCACCCCATGGGAGACCAGAAGAAGCACCTGGCTCCTGCCTTGGGATCAGCGCGGTGGGCCGGCCGCAGCGTGCCGGCCATGGCGGCCATTGGAGGGTGAACCAACGGCAAAAGGAAGACCTTTCTCTCTGTCTCTCTCTCTCACTGTCCACTCTGTCAAAAAAAAAAAAAAAAATAGACTATGGGGACCAGCATTGTGACATGGCGGGTAAAAAAGCTGCTGCCAACAGTGCCAGTATCCCATATGGGCGCTGGGTAGAGTCCCGGCTGCTCTGTTTCCGATCCAGCTCTCTGCAATGGCCTGGGAGGGCAGGGGAAGATGGCCCAAGTTCATGGGCCCCTATACCCACATGGGAGACCAGAAAGAGGCTCCTGGCTCCTGGCTTTGGATCAGCCCAGCTCTGACTGTTGCAGCCATTTGAGGAGTGAACCAGCAGGTGGAAGACCTCTCTTTCTCTCTGCTTCTACCTCTATAACTCTTTCAAATAAATAAATAAATCTTAAAGAAAAAAAAGAAAAACAAATTGGCATGACCAAAAACCAGAGTTTAAAAAAAAATAGACTATGAGTCCTTCCCACTTTGGGATACTATGGATAATGTTGCTTGAAACATCTGTGATCGAGTTTTCTAAGGACATATGCCTTCATTTCTCTTGGATATAAACCCAGGGGTGAAACTGCTGCATAAAAGGTAACTCTATGTTTAACTTTTTAAATAACTAGTAAACTGTTTTTCACAAGAAACTATACCATTTCATATTCCTACCATCAATGTACAAAAATACTTCAATTGCACCAATACTTAACTATTCAACTTTTTTTTGTTTTGTTTTTGTTTTTGTTTTTTTTTTTTTTTGACAGGCAGAGTGGACAGTGAGAGAGAGACAGAGAGAAAGGTCTTCCTTTGCCGTTGGTTCACCCTCCAATGGCCGCCGCGGCCGGCGCGCTGCGGCCGGCGCACCGCGCTGATCCGATGGCAGGAGCCAGGAGCCAGGTGCTTTTCCTGGTCTCCCATGGGGTGCAGGGCCCAAGCACCTGGGCCATCCTCCACTGCACTCCCTGGCCACAGCAGAGGGCTGGCCTGGAAGAGGGGCAACCGGGACAGAATCCGGCGCCCCGACCGGGACTAGAACCCGGTGTGCCGGCGCCGCTAGGCGGAGGATTAGCCTAGTGAGCCGCAGCGCCGGCCCTCAACTTTTTTTTACTGCAGCCACCCTAAATGGGTGTCAGGTAGTACCTCATAGTTTTGATTTGCATTTCCCTAATAAAAAGATGTTGAAAATTTTTTTCAGGTGCTTATTGGTCATTCTTTTGTTTTCTTTGAAGCAATGTGTCCTCCAATGTTTTGCCTATTTTTAGTTGGGTTGTCTTTTGATTGTTGAATTCTAAGAGTTCCTTAAAAATTTTAGACATCAGTCTCCTATCACATATGTAACTGACAAAGATTTTCTATTTTGTGGGTTTTCACCTTCTCGAAGTTTTTAATTTTGATGAAGTCTAATTTATCTTTCTTCTCTTACATGTGCCTTGGTACCCTATCAAAGAAACCACTGCCTAAAGCAAGGGTGGAGAGAGCCTTCTTTTGTGTGTTTTTTGGAAAGGGCCGTTTGGATATTTATAATATCATTCACAGGCCATACAAAACTATCAACTTATAGGGGCCAGCGCTGTGGCGTAGTAGGTAAAGCCGCCACCCCAGTAAAGATGGAAAGCCAGAACCCCTGCCCCTTCCACTGGGGACTGAGAAGATCAACTGGGGGAAGCTGTGAGTACTAGATTAGTTGTTTACCTGCCTTCATCCCGCCTGAAGAGCTCAAACCAGGTGACTCAGTGTAAAGTTTGTCTAAATTGCAGAAACCCTGTTTATCTATTATTTTACACACAAACCCAACTGTAGTAGAAGTTTATGTTAAGATTTGCATTAAAGGCTGTAGCTGGGTAAAGCTGCCACCTACAGTGCCAGCATCCAATATGGACGCCAGTTCGAGTCCCGCCTGCTCCACTTCTGAAACAGCTCTCTGCTATGGCCTGGGAAAGCAGGAGAAAATGGCCCAAGTTCTTGGGCCCCTGCACCCCTGTGGGAGACCCAGAAGAAGTTCCTGGCTCCTGGCTTCAGATCGGCTCATCTCTGGCCATTGTGGCCATTTGGGGAATGAACCAGCAGACGGAAGACCTCTCTCTCTCTCTCCCTCCATCCCTCCCTCCGCCTCTCCTCCTCTCTCTGTATATTTTGGACTTTCAAATAAATACATAAATGTTTTCCAAAAAAAAAATAGCCTACTACAGTTTATCGAGTTTTGAGTATAGTTTATCGAGTTTTGAGTACTGACTGCTGTTGAACTGGCAGAGCCAAAACAAATGATTTCATGAACCATATGGGCTGGATGTTCCTCACTCCTGGAAAGTCACAAAGACTTATTTTCTCCTAAGAGTTTTACAGTTTCAGCTCCTACATTTAAATCTTTTATCTAATTTGAGTTAATTTTTATATGTGGTATGAGGTAAGAGTCCAAATTTATTCCTTTGCATGTGGGTAGCCAGATGTTTTTGAAAAGACTATTTTCTACCCACTGATTATTTTGACACCCCTACCACTCAATGGATTCTAAATATATGGGTTTATATCTGGACTCCAACTTCTATTCCAACGATCTATATGTCTGTCCTATACCAATACCACATAGTTTGATAACCGTAGGTCTGCAGTTAAGTTTCAGATTCATTATATGTGAGTCCTTTAACTTTTTTCATTAGTGTCAAGATTGTTTTGGCTATTCTGTATTCTTGTATTTCCACATGAATTTTAGGATCAACTTTTCAATTTATGCAAGCAATTAAGCTGGACTTTTGATAAGCATTGCATTGAATCTATAAATCAGTATTTGATCCCAGTTCTTTATTTTTAAATATCCCTTCCTTCAAATGCTAAATGTTATTTCTTATTAAACAAAATAAGTATCTTCATTGTGAGCCCTCTAATTTTGTTTACCTTGTAAAAGCAGAAAAGATACAAAAAAAATACATATTTTCAGAGCACTAATTCACCCTGTAGGCCAACTGAGCAATTCTCTTTTAATGGTGAAGTCATTTACCATCTGTCTTATGATAGTATATGATTATTAACAGATTATAGAGAGAGAGATTAAGGAACTTACATTTTCATGATGACAGTAAGTTATATCAGGCTGATGAGGATACTGGCCTAATACATCAAGATTATACAAGTTAGGCAAGGTCACAGAGCAATTTGCAGGCTTGGCTAGACCTAATTCGAACAGTTTAGTACAGAATTCTATCCACTGGAACTGGCAGACTTTATTTCCTCTACTATTTGGACACAGATCACAGATCCAAATATAAAATTTACATAAAGGTATGTATATGATCTCTCAAGTATTTGGTAAGATTAAGGAATTTTTAGTCTTTTTTTTTTTTTTTTTTTGACAGGACAGGCAGAGTAGACAGTGAGAGAGAGAGAGACAGAGAGAAAGGTCTTCCTTTTGCCGTTGGTTCACCCTCCAATGGCCGCCGCAGCTGATCCGAAGGCAGGAGCCAGGTACTTATCCTGGTCTCCCATGGGGTGCAGGGCCCAAGCACTTGGGCCATCCTCCACTGCACTCCCAGGCCATAGCAGAGAGCTGGCCTGGAAAGGGGGCAACCAGGACAGAATCCGGCACCCTGACCGGGACTAGAACCCGGTGTGCCGGCACCACTAGGTGGAGGATTAGCCTATTGAGCCGCAGTGCCAGCTGATCATTTTTTTTAAGGTATGATAACAGTGGTTGTATTTTTTAAGTCCTTCTCAAGATACTTATGTATCTGCAGATAAAAAATATGTTGTCTGAAATTCACTTTAAAATAATCTAGTGAGAGTTAGTGTGGAAAGTTGGTATGCTACAGGTCAAATAAGATTAGATGTGTGTTGATAACACTTAAAAACTGGGTTTCAGATATATGAAAAGTATATTACAGAATCTTCTCTATTTTTATATAAAAATTTGCAATGAAAAAATACCAAAACAGTAGAATGTAGTTGTGGTTGATGTGACTCTGCCTGGGAGCCTATTTGGAAGAGTAAGGGAGCAGAGTGAATGGTGTATAAGGATAGGGTATTGATATAATAGTATAGTTCACTAGAAGTTCCCTTCTACCACAATATAACTACACACATCAGGATATTTTTGCCTAAAGATTCAAAGATTAAAAAGGATTAAAAAAAAAACTTAAGAATTGAAAAATTTCAACTTACTCTTTCATCAATGATTTTCATAAACCATCTTTTAGTCAGATTATGTCTTTTGACAGCCTAAAAAAAGAAAAGTATTATAAATTTTTAGAAAATACTAGAAATGACCTTTGCAGATCTGAATAAAATAAACAAACAAGAAAATTAGGTAAACAAACATTTATAGTAACTTATACTAATATGGACAGCTGCATTTAGGAAGTATCAGGGGAAATGTTCCTAGAAAACATGTCCAAGTAAATATTACATTTCTGATACTTTTTCACCAAACTGTCCTTTTCTTCCTTATATTACTAATAATGTAATGCATCCACTTTCAAATAAAAACAAATAATTAAAAACTGAGTTACTTTATAGTGCAATGCATGCTGACTTTATTTTACAAATTTTTAAGACATTTATTTAAAGTCAGAGAGCAGAAAGAGGGAGAGAAACTAAGAGAGAGAGAGAGAGAGATCATCTATCCATTGATTAACTTCCCAAATGGATGCAACAGCCACATCTGGGCCAGACTGAATCTAGGAGCAAGGAACCCCATTCTGGTCTCCCACATCATATACTTGGGCCATCTTCCACTGCCTTCCCATGCTTATTAGCAAGAAGCCGGATTACAGGAAGAACAACAGGCCTCCAACCCACACTTTGACATACCTGTGTCACAAAACCACTGTGCCACAACACTGGGCCCATCACTCTGCCTTCTATGCTAACTCATTACACACAAACATTTTTTCACAGGATAAAGATTCTATTCAGCAAAAATAATTAGTTCTTCAAAAATGAAAATAGTAACTAAAATGCCAATGAAAACAATCTTAAGCAAAATGACACTCTGGTGGGCCAGATCACACCAAGTACCAGACTATGGTTTCTAATACCACTCCCCTTAAAGAAATCAAGGCCCTAGAGAAATGGATAATTCCAGAGTGGGGCAGGAGAGGTTCAAAATGATCCTAGAAAGTCTTATTGTGTCAGAAAAAAAGTAAGTTATCAAAGAAATGATGGAGGCATATCGTAAAGACATTTGAAGGGACTCCCACTGTCCAAAACAGGTACAATTTGAACAGTAAAATAAATACTATTGGGAAAAAATAAGAATTTGTAAGCTCACATCAATAACTAATAAGAAAACAAATAAATATAGAAGAATAACAGTTCGTTCTCATAGAATCTCAAGTGCAACTGTTAAATGTGTAGAGTGCTAGAGTTGAGAAATTATCATTTTGCAACCATAACAGTAACAATTCAACCATACAAGAACCATTGGTGACTGCTATATTTAGGGGGGAATTTTGATGAGGAGTAGAATATTTGTACAGTCTTAAAGTATCTCCTCAAAGATGGCTGAGTAGTTGCAAGTGGAATTATTAATTACAAAGTGGACAAACAAGGCAACATTCTTGATCAGGTAGTCAAAACTAACAATGCCAATAAAGGACAGATGGATAAAGTGTCCCTCCAGATTTGATACCCTGAAAAGGACACATTATCTTGTAGCATTTCAGCCAAGAATACATAACTTGAATCTAATATGTGTAATGAGAAAATATTAGATAAATCCAAAATAAGCGTTCTACCAAAAAAAGTGGAGTTATTACAACTCTTCAACAACGTCAATGTCATAAAAGACAAATGCTATGAAAATGCTCCATATTAAAGTAAACTAAAGCAGTAAGACAAAACACTTGACCCTAGATTAGATCCTATACTGGAAGGGGAAAATGCCAAGCAGGCATTATTAAGTCAACTGACAAAAATGAAACTATAAATAGAAAATTAGGTAAATGTGTCATCAAATTTAAATGTAGTAAAATCAGTAACTGTTCTAGTTATACGGAAAATATCCCTATGCTTAGCAATACTGAAATATTTAGGTTAGATTCATAACTGTTAACAACAGGGACAAGTGTTGATCAGCCAGCATCCCACTAGAAATACTCGGTTCAGGTCCCAGTGCCTTTGTTTCTGATCCAGTCTCCTGCTGATGCACACCCTGGGAGATGGCATGCAACAGCTCAAGTACTTGGGTCCTTTCCACATGTCTGAGAGATCCGGACTCAGTTCCTGGATCCTGGCTTTTGCCTGGTCCAGCCCTGACTGTTGCAGGGATTTGGAGAGTAAAACAGCAAATGGAAGATCTCAGAATGTCTTTCTTTCTCTTGGCCTTTTAAATAAGATGAAAATTTTAAAAATACCAATTTTAAAAATGTTTCATAATAGGTAAATCTGGGTATAAGGTATAGAAGTTTTCTCTGCATTATTTTTCATTCTGTGGCTTTTCTGAAAGTCTGAAATTATTTCCACATTAAGTTTAAAAAACATAGTTTCTTTGTCAGAGCAATATTAAATGACATATTTCCACAATACAGAAATATGGTAGTGAGACAACTATGAATTTCAGGGATCTCCTATACTTCAAACTAACACCATCAGACATCATTAATGCTAAAATAAAAGACTAACATGCTCCTCTGACACATTTAGGTAACAAAGAATCCGTGGGTGGCAATCAGATTACTATGCCAGGCAGGAATCTCATAGGAGCTGAAAGGGTTACAAGGAGTCAGTCCTGAAGTGCTCCTAGCACTATTGTTATTACATGGTAAAGACTCCCCACAGGCTTCTCCCAACCAGTCAGTCACTAAAGACTCCAGCTCTTGTTTTGTTTAGTATGTGTGGGATGGAAAGGGTTGGTCTTTGATACCACCCACAACAGGCACCATTCCTGACACATTAAAGTACTCAACAAATAGTTTACAGGTAAAAAGTCAAACTCCTATTTACTTAAGGCTGAAACTATAATGGCCACAGTTCCTTGACCACAAAATTCAGTTCTGTCTGAGATCAAGGTAAAAAATAAAGAATTAGGGGCAGGTGTTGTGATGCAGCGGGTTAAGCAGCCACCTGCGATGCCAGCATTCCATATGGGTGCCAGATTGAGTCCCGGCTGCTCCACTTCCAATCCAGCTTCCTGCTAATGCAACTGGGAAAGCAGCCGCAGGTGGCTCAAGTCCTTGGGCTCCTGCCCATGTGGGAGTCCTACAAGAAGCTCCTAGCTCGTGGCTTCAGCCTGGCCCAGCCCCAGCCATTTCGGCTATTTAGGAAGTGAACCAGTGGATGGAAGATGTCTTTCTCTCTCTCTCTTACTCTGCCTTTAAATAAATAGATAAAATCTTTTATAAATAAGTATTTTTCAGCTTTGGAAAATGAAGCCAAATAGAATAAAAACTTTGGCTATCACCATAAATTCAAACTGCAACTGATATTCACACAGAGAGAAGTGGAGAAACCCATATGGAACACATAAAAAAATTATAAATATTCAACTACTTTGTTCTCTGAGAACACCAATGAAACAGTGCAGCAGAAAAGTGCTCTCTGGACAACACATCCAGTTCCCTCTGCTTGATCCTCTAAAGAACCTGACACCCTTCAAAGAACCAGTGGAAAGTTTTGCTGCAGTCAAAGTAAGTATGAGCACCAGCAGAATGGGGAGGGAGATGCAGGGAAGACAACTGCTCGGAACACTATCTCCTTCTTTCAAATATCCATTTTAGCCTTCAACACTGGTTGTATCAGAAAGCTAGCCAACACTAATCAGCAAAAGTTAAGCACTGATTAAAACTGGACAAACTGGCAATCTTAAATTGGGACATATGCAAACATCCTATAATCAGATGTGTTTTCTGGTTAACAGAAATCAAGGACAGACAAATTTGTCCTAAAGGCTATCTCCAATCTTGCACTATATTTCCTGACAATGGCCACAGCCTTTTTTTTTTTTTTTTTTTAAGATTTATTTATTTATTTGAAAGGAAGAGTTACAGAGAGGCAAAGAGAGATCGAGATCTTCCATCTGCTGGTTCACTCACCAAATGGCTGCAATGGCCAGAGCTGGGCCAATCCGAAGCCAAGAGCTTCTTCCAGGTCTCCCATGCAAGTACAGAGGCCCAAGGACTTAGGCCATCTTTTATTGCTTTCCCAGGCCATAGCAGAGAGTTGGCTTAGAGTGGAGAAGCCAGGACTCAAACAGATGCCCATATGGGATGCTGGCACTCCAAGTGGCAGCTTTACCCGCTATGCCATAGCACTGGCCCCTGGCCATAGCCTTTACCACAAGCCTTAACATAAACCTCCACTACAGTTGGGTTTGTGTGTAAAATAATAGATAAACAGGGTTTCTGCAATTTAGACAAACGTTACACTGAGTCACCTAGTTTGAGCTCTTGAGACGGGATGAAGAGAGGTAAACAACTAATCTAGTACTCACAGCTTCCCGTCCAGTTTTTCTTCTTAGTCCCCAGTGGAAGGGGCAGGGGTTCTGGCTTTCCATCTTTACTGGGGCTCTGTGAAGTCAATCTGGGGCCCAGGAAGCGGGCCTGCCTCTGCTGGTGTGCAGACCTGAGAAGAGGTGTACCACTGTCAGGTCTGTCTGTGGATGGCTCCTACTACAGAAACTCTCTCTTGGCACTCAACACATTACAAACGTGACAGAGATCAGGATGAAAGGCACCTAATTCCCTTTCCCCATTCATAGTTTAGCACACTTCTAAACATGGCTGTTTTTGAATGAGAGAAACATACTGCTGCTGCAATAGAAAACCACTTACGAGTAATACTCTACCCTCTAGGTTTCCATCCTTCAATACCTAAAAAGTTACAAATAAATGAGCAATTTATCAACCTAGACAGGAGATTTTCGACTTGTATTTGGACAATGGTGACAGAAAGTCTCCCTCATAAAAGATTAACACATGTTGTTCTACAGCCCAGAGACTGGACTGAAACACTGCCTTAACAAGCTACTGGGCAGACAGAATAGAAAATTTTACTTGCCATTACATCAAAATCTAAGACCAGCAACTTATAATATAAACAGACCAGATACTTCTTTCTTCCTTTAATAAAGAAGTTGAGAAGACTTATATAAATTATTAGTGGATGATTTTAAATTCTTCCTATCAAAACAAACATAGATCTGAACATTATATGAGCCTACAAATATTTTCAGGACAGATTCCACTATCATCATTATCCAAATTTTATCTGTGAAAAAGGCGGCTCAGGGGAGAGGTCACTTAGCCTAGTGGTTAAGATGCCTGCCTCCCATGTCAGAGTACCTGGTTTTGATTTGACTCTGGCTTTCCACCAATTCAGAGCTGGGAGGCAGCAGTGGCTCAAGTAACTGGTTCCCGCCTCCTATATGGGAGACCTGGACTGCAATCCCAGCTCCTGACGCTGGCACGGGCCCAGTCCCAGTCAGCTGTTGTGGGCATCTGGGGAATGAACCAATGGAAGGGAGCGTTCTCTTGAGCCCACTCTCACTCCCTCTCTCACTCCTTGTTTCTTTAAAAAAAAAAAAAAAGAAAGAAAGACGAAGGGGGAACCTCAAACAGTACTCTTAGAAATGAAATGAATTATGGGCTTTTTTTTTTACCTTCCATAGTTCAATGGCCACAGGCTGATGTGGTGGATTGTCAAGGTATATATCTTCTACAGTTTTTTTCCAAAACTGCATTCGCATCAGTCCAATTGCTTTCTCAGAGACTGAGTCCTTAACCTGTAAATAGGTTTGAAAAAACTTTAACAAATGTATTGTTCACAATCTCAAAAATCAGTACATTTGAGGAAATCATTTAAGTCAATGGAACTATTTTATGGCATGACTATGCTAACGAATACGTCTACACTTTTCAGAAACTACAGAACTGTATACAATAAAGAATGAATTATACTGTATATATTCATTTAGTAATTCATTTCTATTTTTTACATTTTTAAAAATTTACTTATTTGAAAGGCAGAAAGACAGAGAAAGCAAGAGTAAGTGAGAGATCTCCCATCCACTGGCCCACTCCCCAAATACCCACATGGCCTGGCAGGGCCAGGCTCAAGTCAGGGACCAGGAACTCAGTCCAAGTCTCCCATGTGGGTGACAGGACCCAACTACTTCAGCTATCATACGCTGTCTCCCTGTGTGCATATTGGCAGAACACCAGACTGGAAGCAGAGGAGCTGGGACTAAACCAGGCACTCTGATACAGGATGCAGGCCTCCTAAACAGTGCTTAACTGCTGTTCCAAATGCCCACCTCTGTCTAGCATGTTTTAGACACCCAATCAGTACTTGTTTTGGAGAAGGTTGCTCCTAAAAAGTGACAGACAATTCAAGGAGAACTCTGCAGATTATTTATTAAAAATGCAGCCATCATTTAAAAATTACAAAGGCAGGCCACAAAGGGGACTAAAACTGTGACTGACTTAATACGCTGATGTACAGCTTATTCCAGAAAAACGATGGCATGAAAAATCATGACCCATGACTTCCAGGGATACACCAGAGGGAGCATCTCCTGGACTCCGCAGATTCATGGCTGTGAATCCTAGTCACGCCTCTGTGCTACACTCGTACCTTCCTTCATTCCTTGTTCACTTCCTATCACACTCAGAGAGAGAGGCGCTGCACAACTTCCCACTTTCTTCTGACTCTAAACCTCCCGCTGCTCCCTCATTCCCAACACCTGAACTTTCCATTTAATTTACTGAGAAGACCAAGGCTATTCTAAACTCATTCATTTCTACCCCAATTTCAATTTATTTTTTTCTTTCCCTTGTAAGAAAGTCTCTCCTTTCTTTGTAATTCTTTTTCTTTTTTTTAAGATTTATTTATTTATTTGAAAGACAGACTTACACAGAGAAAGGAGAGGCAGAGAGAGAGATCTTCCATCTGCTGGTTTACTCCAAAAATCTCCACAACAGCCAGAGCTGAGCTGATTCAAAGCCAGAAGCCAGGAGCTTCTTCTGCGTCTTCCCATATGGGTGCAGAGGCCCAAGGACTTGGGCCATCTTCTACTGCTTTCCCAAGCCATAGCAGAGAGCTGGATCAGAAGTGGAGCAGCTTGGGACTCGAACTGGTGCCCATATGGAATGCTGACACTGCAGGCAGAGGCTTTACCTGCTATGCCATGGCACCTACCCCTCCTTTGTAATTCTTGGCCAAAAATGACTTTGTATGATCTAAGGCCTGAGTTTGCTATCATTGCTTCCATTCTCTACCTCACATTAAAACTAAACCCGCTATTTAAAAAGTGCTGTGCAACATTAACTGCACACTTTTATAAAAATCTCTGAGAAAAGGGCTGGCATTGTGGCGCATCAGGTTAAGCCAATGCCTGCAGTGCCAGCATCCCTTAAAAGAGTGCCAGCTCACATCTCATCTATTCTGCCTCTGATCCAGCTTACGTGCCTGGGAAAGCAGTGGAAGATTACCTAGGTACTTGAGACCCTGCCACTGATATGGGAAACCTAGATGGACTTCTGGGCTCCTGGATTCAGTTTGGCACAGCCCCAGCCATGTGGCCACTTGGGGAGTGAATCAGTGGATGGCAGGTCAGGTCTCTCTCTCTCTCTCTCCCTCTCTCCCTCCCTCCCTCCCTCTCTATCACCCTGACTTTCAAATCAATTAATCAATTTTTTTTAATTTCAAAAAAAAAAAAAAATCTCAGAAAAAAAGTAAAAATTCCAGAATGGTACATCCAGAAACATTTACTTCATTAACTAGCTTTATTTTTGCTACTAAATTATTAAGCCTGAATAGTTAGCAAGACAAAGAAATCACCAGCAGAGACTTTAAACACATGTAACCTCTAAACTACAACTGTATTTCTTTATTTTTCCGGATTAAACACTTTATATCACCATTCTGTGAAGAATGTTGTAAGGTATTTTAATACCAGCCTGAGCCAGTTCCACGTTGAAGGCCCTCAGCGCCAAAGCAGAGCTTCGGGATTCCGCAGGGAGCAGCAGGGAGCACAAATAACCTTCGTAATCTCGTTTCCTAAAACAAAAACAAATTTTTAAAAAGTTACCCTTCACCTTCCAAACTGCATGAAAAATATTAACCAAAACTAACAAGTTCCTGGCTCCTGGTTTCAGACCAGCCCAGTTCCGGCCGTTTCAGCCATTGGGGAGTGAACCAGCAGAAGGAAGATTCTGTCTCTTTCTGTAACTTTGTCTTTTAAATAAATAAATAAATCTTAATAATAATAACAGATTCTGGCAAAACATCAACACTTGAAAATTTAAAATGCATGGAAGTGGCCGGCGCCATGGCTCACTAGGCTAATCCTCCGCCTTGCCATGCCGGCACACCGGGTTCTAGTCCCGGTCGGGGCACCGGATTCTGTCCCGGTTGCCCCTCTTCCAGGCCAGCTCTCTGCTGTGGCCAGGGAGTGCAGTGGAGGATGGCCCAAGTGCTTGGGCCCTGCACCCCATGGGAGACCAGGAGAAGCACCTGGCTCCTGGCTTCGGATCAGCGCGGTGCGCCGGCAGCAGCACGCCGGCCATGGCAGCCATTGGAGGGTGAACCAACGGCAAAGGAAGACCTTTCTCTCTGTCTCTCTCTCTCACTGTCCACTCTGCCTGTCAAAAAAAAAATGCATGGAAGTTTCATTTCCATAGTACTAAAATATCTCCCCACAATGTACTTCTTACTAATGGACATTCTTAAATTTATAGGGTTATTTGGAGGCATCACATAAGACATATGTCCAAAACAACCATGTACAATTTCACAAATCAAATCTTGTAGAAACTGTTGATGGATAATTAGAAGCCAGTGTTCAAGTCCTCAAGTTTCATTTTATCTTAAAAAGTACTTACTGGGGTGGGCTTTGTGTTACTGAAGGTTAAGCCTCTGCCTGCAGTATGGGTATCCTATATGGGTGCCAGTTCAAGTCCCAGCTACTCCACTTCCAATCCAGCTCCCTGCTAATGCACCTGGGAAAGCAGTGGAAGACAGCCCAAATACTTGGGCTCCTGCAACCACATGGGAGACCCAAAAGAAGCTCCTGGCTTCAACCTGGCCCAGCCCCAGTCATTGTGGCCATTTGGAGCAGCCAACTTGAACCAGCACCCCATATGGGATGCCAGCACTGCACACAGCAGCTTAACACACTAACAGCACTGGCGCCCCGCTTTACAGGTTTTTGGTTTTTTTTTTTAAGATTTTATTTATTTATTTGAGAGGCAGAGCTACAGACAGAAAGAAAGGTCTTCCATCCACTGGTTCACCCCCAAATAGCCCCACGGCTGCAACTGAGCTGATCCGGAGCCAGGAGCCTCTTCAGGTCTCCCACATGGATGCAAGAGCCCAAGCACATGGGCCATCCTCCACTGCTTTCCCAGGCCACAGCAGAGAGCTGGATCAGAAAAGGAGCAGGCAGGAAACAACCCACAGGAACAGGCTTAGGCTTAGCAAACTATCCCACGCAGCCAGCCCCCACCCCACCTCCCCTCCACCCAGTTCTGAATGCCCTGATTTCCACTATTGCTATCTTGTATCTTAGATAAGTAATACAAATAAGATAGGGGAGGAACACAATGTTTAAGAGGTGATTAAAAACAAAACACTGAAATAAGTGTACGTTGTTGTGCCATGTCACTTTTCACTAAAATGGCATTTTAAAACTACTGTTTGACTTTCTCAATCAAATCCAGGGTAGTTCAGTTTACTCTAGTACTTCCCAGAAGTCCTTGAGCTCAGGTACTTTGAGACCTGTTACCAGTTTCCAATGAAGGGCGCAGGGGCCAAGCCATCACTGTCTGCAGATTAGGTCTGGATTCCAAGGCTGGCCCCTGCTTCAACGAACCAAGGGACCTGACTGATCGATCCACCTCCATAAATGATTAAGCAGCAACTTCCAAGTGCCAGGCCTTCCCAGAGCTACTGGGGACAACAAAACATTGCTCAAGCCCTTGACTTCCAGGTTATTCTAGGGAACCTCAGGCAAGTTTCTTCCTCATCTATCTAAAGCCCCATTTCCTTGTCTAAGTGAAATAGCAATGACTTACATTGTACTCGCGGTGCCTCATTTATGTGCGAGGCACTAGACTAATTTACGATTTTCATATAATAAAATACGCTTTCATCTTCACAACCCCGATCACAATCCGTAATGAGGATCAAATAAATTACTTGTAAAGTACTCTGCATAGTATCGGACCCATAGGAAAAAACTCCAAGTTGGCTACTATTGTCATGAAAACTTAAGAGGCTATGCATGCATGCAAATAACGCTCTATTCGGTTAAAATCAAGTTTCAGGCAAAGTGACAAGCGAGGGCAGACCAAGGACGTCTGCCCCAATTGTGCGGCCCCTGTGCTTGTTCTCGAAGCCCCACTTCCTCCTCCCGGCCGGAGGTCCTCACCGCAGCAGCTCCAGGCAGTACTGCTCAGAGCCCGACGCGTCCAGCCCGCTGGCCACCGCCACGCTCCGCCCCGACACCGCCGGCCCCGGGAGCCGCCGCTCGCGCACGCACAGGTCTCGGGGTGACCAGCGGCCGCACAGGCCAAGGACGCCCAACCGCTGCGCGGCCCGGGCAAAGCCCAGCCCGGAGGCCGCCATGACGCTGGCGCCGCGTGCCCTTCGACCCCGCGCCGACTGCGCGCAGCCACGCCCCCTCGGGTCCCGGCGCGGGACTGTGCGCCCTGAGAGGCCGCTTCCCGACGCGGCTCTGCGGAGAGCCAGGTGTCGCTGTGGTGCTCTGCGTGTGGGCAGCCGCCCTGCTCCTGCAGCTTGTGGATTCCAGGAAAGCCTTGCCGAAGTTCGGCTGGGCCCTCTCGCGTTTCACCTCTGCCACGTCCATCCGCAAGGGACTCCGGAGCACCTAGAGAAGAGATGGGAGTCTCCAAACTTGCGTCCCGGCAGTCCTGCATGTCATCAGGCAAAACCTTGCCCTGTCTCTGAACAAGGGCACTCCCCAAAAGGACTGTCCCACACGTTGCTGGAAGTTTGCTCTACCTGGATGCCCAGGCATGGTGACCAGCCGACCACCCACACGTGTTCCCAGATGTTTTGGGAGTCACCATCCACCTTGCACCTCCACAAAGGAAACCACAGAGATCCCTGAGAGGAGCAGCTCCTTAAGCCGTTATCAAGCTCCACCTGCGGCTCGCGGGCCTGTTGATTGTCTCCCACTACACTCAAGTTCCATGAGGGTAGGTCATTATTTTGTTACCTGTTTTATGTCCAGTGCCAGTCCCTTGAATATTGCAGAAACTGACCTGCCTCCATTCACATAGATTGTAAGTTAGGTAAGATCCAATTCTGTTTGAAGAGGAAGGTCCTCCAAGATCCAAGACGTTAAGGAGTCAAAACAATTTAAACTTAATCATTCAGGTCATATTTATCAAGGGGGGAAGATAGAGTTTTTTGAATTTACTTGATTTATAACTTGTTTGTAAAGACTTATTTATTTATTTATTTATTTATTTTAAAGATTATTTATTTATTTGACAGGTAGAGTTACAGACAGTGAGAGGGAGAGACAGAGAAAGGTCTTCCCTCCGTTGGTTCACTCCCCAAATAGCCGCCACAGCCCGAGCTACGCCTATCCGGAGCCAGGAGCCAGGTGCCTCCCCCTGGTCTCCCATGCGGGTGCAGGGCCCAAGCACTTGGGCCATCCTCCACTGCACTCCTGGGCCACAGCAGAGAGCTGGACTGGAAGAGGAGCAGCCGGGACTAGAACCCGGTGCCCATATGGGATTCTGGCGCCGCAGGCGGAGGATTAGCCAAATGAGCCACGGCACTGGCCCCTTACTTATTTATTTGAAAGTCAGAGTTACAGAGGGAGAGTCAAAAAGAGAGAGAAGTCTTCCATCTCCTGGTTCACTCCCCAGATGGCCACAATGGCCAGGATTGGGCCAAGCCAAAGTCAGGAGCCAGGAGTTTCTTACAGGTCTGTCATTGTGGGTGCAGGGACCCAAGCACTTGGGCCATATTCTGCTGCTTGCCCAGGCCATTAACAGGGAGCTGGATCGGAAGCAGAACAGCTGGAACTCAAACCAGCACCCATATGGGATGCTGGTATCACAGGTGGCAGCTTTGCCTACTGTGCCACAATGCGGGTCCCAATTTATAACTTTTAATATTTGCCCACATGATATGTGGGCCTCCTTTGCTAATCCTACCTGCGGACTCCTCAAATAAAAGAGTTGAGTCTAGTTGCTACCACTAACCTGGTCCAACCCAACAGCTGCCTGTACCTGGAAGCCAGTGATACCTTCCACCCTCAGAGTTGCCTAAACTTCATGGTGCAGCCAAATTGATTCTTTCTTTCTGAAATGTACTAGGGATTTTCAAAAATTCATGGGGGAAATGCATATTATGTAAAAACTGTGCATGAATGAAAGATACCTATCTTTTAATTCCATTTTCCATAAACTTTCTGAAATGTCCTCATGCATCTGATCATATTTGAACATCTTTATGCTTTGGATACAGCCCCTCTGTGATGTGGCCTCTGTTTACCTTTTTTTTTGACAGGCAGAGTGGACAGTGAGAGAGACAGAGAGAAAGGTCTTCCTTTTGCCGTTGGTTCACCCTCCAATGGCCGCCGCGGCCGGCGCGCTGCGGATGGCGCACCGCGCTGATCCGATGGCAGGAGCCAGGAGCCAGGTGCTTTTTCCTGGTCTCCCATGGTGTGCAGGGCCCAAGCACTTGGGCCATCCTCCACTGCACTCCCTGGCCACAGCAGAGAGCTGGCCTGGAAGAGGGGCAACTGGGACAGAATCCGGCCCCCCGACCGGGACTAGAACCCGGTGTGCCGGCGCCGCTAGGCGGAGGATTAGCCTAGTGAGCCGCGGCGCCGGCCTCTGTTTACCTTTTGTCCTCAACTCCCCATTTGCACGTGTGACTCCAGCTAAAAAATAAATCAAACCAACTCTCTTAGTTTTTTTATTCATTTGGATAGCCCTTCTCAAAACCAGCAGAAACACTTGGAAGTCATCTTTACTTCTCTTTTCTGTAGCTACTGTAACTTCACTAGTTAGATTCTGTTATTTTGCTTTTGCACATATATATCCATATCCATGGTAGCTAGCATGTGCAAAACTACCTGGATTTAGATCCTGCCTCCACCTCCTGGTTTTATCATTTTGTGATTTTGCGTGAATTACCTACCTTTTTATGTGCTGTTTTCAGTTCTGTCACCTGTAAAATGGAAATTATAATAGAACCTACCTCATAAGGTTATTGTGAGAACTAAATGAATTAATACATTTGAGGTACCCAAGAAAGTACCAGAGCCCATAATAAGCACTCAACACAAATTGGCTATGAAAGGAAAATATTATGAAAGTTTCAAATGGACCAAAAAGATTGCTGAGTGTTGAACAGTTTTGTATCTATTAAGCAGATTTACTTATGCCTATTTGTGTCTGGTACTTTGAATACTCTTGAACTGATTTCAATATCTGGTTGCCTCATTAATTAATTAGTTAAATACAGTTTTTAAACTATTTTTTTTTAAGTGGCAGAGAGAGCTCTCATCCACTGGTTCACTTCACAAATGCTCACAATTGCCAGGACTAAGGCATGCCCAAGCGGAGAGCTGGTAACTCAATCCAGATCTCCCACATGGATGGCAGGAACCCAGTTATTTAGCCATCATTACTGTGTTCCAGAGTGTGCATTAGCAGGCAATTGGAGTCAGGAGTTGGAATCATGTAGCTAACCCAGGTACTCTGTTGTGGAACGCAGGCATATTAACTGCTAGGCTACACACTCACCCCAAATGAAATTCTTGACATGTTCATTTTATATCTGTATAAAAATAATTTATATAATTTATTTAAGTTTTTTACAGCTACTATCAGCTGTTATTAACCTTACTTCCTTTACCTTGCTTCATTTTTTACAATGATCCTTTTTTTTTTTTTTTTTTTTTTTTTTTTTTGTCAAGCAGAGTGGACAGTGAGAGAGAGAGAGACAGAGAGAAAGGTCTTCCTTTTGCCGTTGGTTCACCCTCCAATGGCCGGCGCGGCCGGCGCGCTGAGGCTGGCGCACCACGCTGATCCGAAGGCAGGAGCCAGGTGCTTCCTCCTGGTCTTTATTGGGGTGCAGAGCCCAAGCACTTGGGCCATCCTCCACTGCACTCCCGGGCCATAGCAGAGAGCTGGCCTGGAAGAGGGGCAACCAGGACAGAATCTGGCGCCGCTAGGTGGAGGATTAGCCTGTTGAGCCGCGGCGCCGGCCCGATGATCCCTTTTTATTGTTTCCTTATTAGTCTTTAGGTCAGTGAGTCTATACTGAAAATTCAGCCATTTCTAGTTATCATAAATGCATGTTAAAGGTATTATGAATATCAGATGTATAAGCCTGCGACAGGATTTCAATTAATGTCACAGAGAAATTCAGAAGTTTTAAAACTATACTATAGATGCCATTGTCTTTAACCAATATTATTTGAACATCTATTATTGCTAACTTTTAAATCAGTTTTTGAGGGCCAACATTGTGATGCAGTAGATTAAACATCCACCTGCAGTGCTGGCATCCCATATGGGTGCCAGTTCAAGTCCCAGCTGGTCACCTTCCCATCTAGCTTCCTGATGATGGTCTGGGAAAGCAGTGGAAGATAACTGAAGTGCCTGGACCCCTGTACCCGCATGGGAGACCCTGAAGAAGCTCCTGGCTCCTAGCTTCAGATCAGCCTAGCTCTGGCCATTGCAGCCACTTAAGGAGTATACAGCAGATGGAAGACTTCTCTCTCTCTCTCTCTGTCTTTGCCTCTCTCTGTCTGTAACTCTTCCTCTTGAGTAAATAAATAAAATCTTGGAAAAAATTTTTAAATAAAATGAATTTTTGTGTGCATGCTACTATAGCTTTTTTTTTTCTTCCTTCCGTTAGTTCACCCCCCAAATAGCCGCCACAGCCGGAGCTACACCGATCCACAGCCAGGAGCCAGGTGCCTCCCCCCAGTCCCCCATGCAGGCGCAGTGCCCAAGCACCCGGGCCACCCTCCACCGTCTCCCCAGGCCACAACAGAGAGCCGGACCAGAAGAGGAGCAACCGGGACCAGAACCCGGCACCCACATGGGATGCCGGCGCCGCAGGTGGAAGACCAGCCAAGGGAGCCACGGCACCGGCCCCACTACTATAACTTATTAAAAATAATTGTAAGCACATGAGAATTTCTTAGTATACTTTCCTTGTATCAAACCAATTTTTAAATTTTATTTATTTATTTTAAGATTTATTTGTTTGTTTGAAAGGTAGAGAGAGAGAGAGAGATCGATCTTCCATCTGCTAGTTCAGTTCGCATATTGGCTGCAACACCTGGGGCTGGACCAGAGGAAGCCAGGAGCCAAGAACTTCATTCAGGTCTCCCACATGGGTGCAGGGGCCCAAGCACTTGGGTCATCTTCTGCTGCCTTCTCAGATGTATTAGCAGGGAGCTGGATCAGAACTGGAGCATCTGGGACTTGACCCAGAACTCATATGAGATGCAGGCATCACAGACAGCACCTTAACCCACTATGCCACAACACCAGCACCTAAAACCAATTTTTAATATTTTATCTATTTGAGAGTTACAGACAGAGGGAAAGACAGAGAGAAAGGTCTTCTGTCCACCAGTTCATTCCCCAATATGCCACAATGGCCGGAGCTGAGCTCCGATCCGAAGCTAGGAGCCAGGAGCTTCTTCTAGGTCTCCTATGGGGCTGCAGGGGCCCAAACACTTGGGCCATCTTCCACTGCTT